TGCCTCATCTTTCTCCTGCAGAGCGGCTGATGGGTTCTAATGCAGACCTTTTGGTTAGCAGCCAAATGCTTTAATCAGTATGTCACCATGGAGGATCTGGGAATTGAGATATTTCAACAAATGGATGCAATGCTGGAAGCTCTCACTCATCTGTGACAAGACAGCTAGCTAGCCAACCAACTACAAGAGATCCAAAGAAAGAGGATCCAACACAATGCTGAAATTATCAAACAGTATCAGTAATATGATATGCAAGTAAAGTTTTGCTGAAGATAAGTCAATTATGGTTGCAGCAGTAAATCAACAGGGAACTACCAAATTCAAGCCAGATTCAGAAGAGGATGTGGAACAAGAGATATCATTGCTCTTGTCAGATGGATCTTGGCTGGAAGCAGAGAATACCAGGAAGATGTTTACCTGCGTTCTACTGATCATGCAAAGGCATTTCATTGTGTGTATCGTGACAAATTACGGCTAACATTGTGAAGAGCGGGAATTCCAGAACACTTAATTGTGCTCATTAGGAATCTGTACGTAGACCAAGGGGCAGTCGTTTGATCAGAACAAGGGCATACTGCATGGATTAAAATCAGGAAAGGCATCCATCAGGGTTGTATCCTTTCACCGTATTAATTCAATCTGTATGCTGAGCAATTGATCCACTAAGAATAATATGAAAAAAACACGGCATGAGTATTGGAAGAAGACTCACTAACAACTTCCAATATGCAGATGACACAACACTGCTTGCTAAAAGCAAAGAGGGCGAAAAACACTTACTGATCATCATAAAGAAAACAAAAGCCCTCACAACTGGACCAACATCATGATAACCAAAAAGCAAGTACTGCCCTGGAATCAGATCCAACTCATAGAGACCCCTGCTTGGGTTTCCGAAGCGGTATCACTAGGGAAGCAGACTGCCCAACCTTCATGATAAACAGATGTTTAGTCTGTTCATTCATAAAAGAATGAAGTTGTCAAAGATTTCATTTTACTTGGATCCACAATCCACGCTCATGGAAGCACCAATCAAGAAATCAAATGACGGTATTACATTGGGCTAACCGGCTGCAAAAGATCCCTTGCAATTGTTAAAAAGCAAAGATGTCACTCTGAGGGCTGAGAACCAAGGTGCGCCTGACCCAAGCCACGGTATTTTCAGTGGCCTCAGATGCAGGCAAACGAGTAAGGAAGACAGAATCAGAACGGATGCATTTGAATTATGGTTCGGGCAAAGAATACGGAAGGTCCCATGGACTGCCAGAACCAACCAATCCGCTTTGTAAGAAGTCCAACCAGAATGTCCCTTAGAAGCTAGAATGGCCAGGCTTTGTCTCAAGTCCTTTGGGCATGTTATCAGGAGGGACCAGTCCTGGAGAAGGACATCATGTGTGGTACCGGGTGAGCGAAAAAGAGGAAGCCCCTCAACGAGATGGACTGGCACAGCGGCTGCAACAATGCGTTCGGCCATGGCAACAATGGGGAGGTTGGTCCCGCACCAGAAAGTGCTTCCGTTGTTCTGTGTGAACTGTGGTGGGACGAAACGTTATCTTAAGACTGTGACAGTACTCCAAACTCACCCTAACTCTCCCTCACCATTTAACAGGCCTTCTCCCGGCGCGGCCAAGCACGACGCTTGGCCATAGACGCCGCCTGGCACCGTATTTCCGCCCCGCCCCGCGCAGACCGGAAACTCTCTCCCCCGCCCGCGGAGGCCGCAGAGCTCTATGGGAAGTGGGCCTCCTGAGGCCTCTCTGCGCCTGCGCACACTCAGCTCTCCGCGGGGGTTGAGGGCTGCGCACGCGCAGGCGCGTCGTTCTCCGTTGAGACGGTGCCGCGGCGGCGCCAGAGGTAGGAGGAGCCGGGCTTCGGGGCTGGGAGTCTGAACCCGGGTTGAGGTGGTGCTGTCACCTCGGGCTTTCTCGCCCACCTCTCGCCCCACCTTGGTCTCGGCAGGCCGCAGCCGCGGTGTAGAGGCAGGAGCCGCGCCTGGGTGGAGGAGGCAGGGGGTGGATCCGGGTACAGCGGTGGTTACGGCCCCGAGGGTCAGCCTGGCGCCCCAGTTTTCACCGCGATCGGGGTACTTACAGCCGTCGTAGCCCTGGGCTGTCCTGCACTAGGCTCGTCCCGGATCCCTCTCCGTGTGACGTCGCAGGGGGGAAGGTGGGAGGGTCTGCCCCACTCTGCTCCCACCCACCCATTCATTCCGCTCTTCCCTGGGCCTGGCGCAGTCGTGGTACAAAGCTGACCGGGGGGGGGGGCTCAGGTCCCCTGCCCGCTGGAAGCTTGCAGTCGCGAAGGACCCCTCACCCCATTCAGCAAATACTGAGTGCATATAGGAGAGGGACAGGAGCCTGGGTGGCCAAGCCGTTTGGCTGCTAACCTAACGGTTGGTGCTTTCACCGACCCAGCCGTTCTGCAGGAAACGGTTACTGCAGGTTACTGCTTCCGTAACGGCTGTTGTTAGTAACCTCAAGTCGACTTGGACTCCTGGCGACCCCAAGTGTGCAGGGCAGAACTACTCCACAGAGTTTTCAAGGTAGTGACCCTTCGGAAGCAGGTGGCCAGGCCTGTCCTCCAAGTTGTCTCGAGGTGGGTTCAAGCTACCAACCTTTCTGCCAGTGGACGAGCACTTCATCGTTAGCACCAGCCAGAGACTCCTCCGTAAAGATTACAGGCAGGAAAGTTCTATGGAGTTCTGTTCTGTTGCACATGGGGGTCGCAGTGAGTCGGGACCCACTGGAGGGCAGATAGCGAGAGGGACTCTCAGGACGATTGAGCAGGGATGTGGAAACTCATTGCGATTGTGCGAGAGGTGGAATTTGCTCTGCCCACTCCCCCATCCAACGCGATAAAATTCCATTTGCTTAGCCTGATATTCCAGGCCCCTGTGAGCTGATCTCTGCTTCTTCCTGCAACCTTCTGTCCTACCGCTTTCTCTTCTCTGTGGTTATACTACACTCTGCAGTTATTTAATACAAGTCATTGCCCAGAACCTATTACAAGTCCGACAAGATCAGCCAAGGGGAAGATGAAAGAAATAAAATAGATGGGCCCCTGTCCTTGTGACATTTTCATTTATGATGAATAGATTATAAGTCAGTGCCTACAAATTTAAGAACCTGCCATGTGGATCCAGACTGCACAGGGTTGATCCCAGCCCTTCCACTTCAAAAGCCTTGTGAACTTGAGGCTGCTCCTCAGCTGGCATGGCAGTAGAGTCCACCTTACAGGAGTGTTGTAAAGACTGTTGTTCTGTTAAGTCCATTTCAACTCCTAGCGACCCCATGTGACAGACTAGAACTGCCCCCATTGGATTTTCAAGGCTGTCATCTTCCCGGGTGCAGATGGCCAGGTGTTTTCTCCCATGGAGCTACTGGATGGGCTTGAACCATCAGTTTTTGGTTAGCAGCCAACCACTTAGACATCGCGCCACCAGGTCTCCTCGTTGTCAGGACAAAGTGAAGCATTTGGGAGGGTGCCTGGCATACAGGAAGCATTCAGCAAATGTTACCCATTCCGTGTGGTTATAACTTGTGATAGCGCCCGTGGCGGGCAGCATCCACTTCCATAAAGGACCCGGGAGGGCTTCTTGAAGGAGGCGACGTCAAAGAGGAGAACGAACCAGCCATGCAGAGCGGGTTCCGGGTGTGTGGACCTGTCCAGTGCAGGGAAACGGAATGAGTTGCTCTACTTGGACAGTGGAGATTGCGTTGGGTCATTCAGGTTTGATATTGAATCCCCAATAAACTGTGCCAAAGGAAGTCACACTGCCAGCCACTGCAGGTGGGCCATGTTCTAGTCATCTGAGTTGGTAAAGGTCTTGCTGGGGTGGGAGGATGGAGAAAAGTGGCCTTTTGAAAAATTAATTATATCACTGATGGATGCACTTCCTGTGTCTGAGTGTTCAAGGTCATTGTCTCTCTCTCTTTCCCTCTGTGTGTGTGTTTCTAATATTGTCGTCTCTGTGATAGAGCCTCTGATAGCTGGGGGCCTTGGACCAGGGCTTTGAACCGGTTCATTCTGGTTCAACCCCCTGCTGAGAATTTGCCTTTCCATCCCATATATAGAGTGACTCAGCATTCCGTTTTAACAGGATCCCCATATGCATAAGAATTACCTGGGGATCTTACTAAGATACAGATTCTGATTCAGAAATTCTGGGGTCAGAAGCAAGTGCTCAGCAGGGGGTTGAACTGGAATCAGCCAGTTAGAAGCCCTGCCTTAGACCAGCGTTCTTGTTACTGGTGTCATTGGTCAATTCTGACCCAGCGAGTGACCCCACATGACAGGGCAGAACTCCCCATAGAGTTTCCTGGGCTGTAATCTTTATGGGAACAGGTCACCAGGTCTTTTCTGCCGTGGAACCGCTGGGTGAGTTGGAACTGCTGACCTTTTGGTGGGCAGCTGAGTGCTGAAACATTTTGCCACCAGGGCTCCTTAGACGAGTGTAGGAGCTAGGTTTTCTGCATCTAGGTGTCATCTTGTTTCTGTGGTGACTGCCTCTCGTGGGATTTATTTGCCAGATTTCAGTAAAAGCAACACTCTCCCAAAATGCACACGTTCTTCTGTCTGTGGAAGAATAGGCTTTAACGGGCTTCTACGTCTCTCTCCCTGTTGTGTTGTCATATCTGTGCTGACCAGGCCGCACCTGAGTATTTGCAGGGGTATTGGTACCCTGTAGACTTTTCTCGTATCCCACGTACTCTTGTCCTAGGCTAGAGGAAATGGCATAAGATGCCGACGTTTGTTCACTGCTCTTGGATGCTTTTGCTTTTCCACAGATGAAAAATTAGCGGGCCCACACCTCATCTGTCACCATGGTGAGCTGGAAGACCATCTGAGCAGCAAGTCCGTATGTATCGTGCCTCAGAGGCGTCTATCAGACAACGAAACCTCCTCTCCAACGTGAACTTCACAGAGGGAGGTTTAAAACACGCTGTTTAGCCACAGGCCCAATTTGAAGAAAGACATTTTAAGTCATTCCAGAGGCGCGAATGGTGCTTTTGGCTCAGTTATGCAGACCCTTCAGCAATCTCAGTGAGAAGGAGGGTGTCCAAGTGAGGCCCGGCCAGGCTTCCCCTGGGTTCGCCTTCTCCTCCCTGCCTGCATCCGCGTCAGCCCTCTTGCCTCAGGAAGCCAACCTGAACGCCTTGAAGCTGGGCAGGCAATGGATGAGTCAGACGATGATTTTAAAGAACTCTGTGCCAGCTTTTTCCAAAGGGTTAAAAAGAATGGCACCAAGGGCTCGGCAGGAGAAAGGAAGAAGCAAAAGGCTTCAAGCAGCACTCAGATAAGCAGCCAATTGAAAGGGCCCAGGCAGCCCAGGAGCAAAGCCCTGCGAGGCCCAGCACAGAGGAAAGCTGGCAGCCAGGCCCGGAGGGCTCCGGCTCAGGGGGCCGCCAAGCAGCGAGCCCGGAAACCGACTCGCGCTGTGAATGGGGAGGGCCACGCAGCCGCTCCTGCCTTTGTGCCAAGTCAGCCGGTGCTCGGGGACAGTGCACAGGGCACCCAGCCAGGTAAGGAGCGTAAATCAGTGCTAGAATGTTCCCACCAGAAACCAGGGGCAGTCAAACCAGGAGTTAGAAAACTTTGGGAAAATAACCATACAGTAAGTATTTTTGGCTTGGGCCCATCCAGTCTCTGTCACAGTCATTCAACTCTTGACAGTACGGGGACAAACGAGTGTGGCTGTGCTCAGATAAACTTTATTTACAAAAATAGGCAGCTTGAGGGCCACAGTTTGCCAACTTCTTATTTTAAACAATAGTCATAAATAATGCAAGCCTTATGTGAATTTTTTACATGATTCTATTTGGAGCCTTCTGTTCATTCAGAATCTTCCAGTAATGCGGTTGACATGAATTACATGAGCATGAAAATTATGCTACTCTTGTTTTCTCAAATTCATTCCAGAGTAAGTTGGAACAAGCTAGGCAGTTTTGGGTTAGGTTACTGAGAAGACAGCGGGGGTGTGATGTGGGTTTATGTCCCAGGAGAATCTTTGGATCCTTTCTTTTTCCTCCCCGAACCTTTTCTTCTATTTCCTAAACATATGTTTGTTTGTTGATAGCAACATTACTTCTCTGCCACTCTCAGGACCCTGAGCCATATGCTTAGGATACTGGAACACCGACTGGAACGAGAAAACGTGTGGCTCTGTGCCCTGCTAGAAATATAATCTCTCTCTTAGAAAACAAGGGCAGCCTGCTTGTTGCATAGCAACAAAATCTCTTAACCAACTGAGTTGAAAACAACAGTGCCCATCTCAAAGATACTGGCCAATTGTGTTGGCTTCGAATGTGTGGGGCTCTCCCCAGTCCTGGCAAAAATCCATTCTCCTGCATCTGGCTCCTGAAAGGGTTCATTATGCCTCTGCTCAGGCTCCCATTCCAGGGCTTTGACCCATCATTTTTCCCATTCCAGTAAACCCATGTTTTACAAATTCGAGTCTGTTCTGACCTCACCATGTTGGCCATCACTGGTCCTGTTCTAAGCCCCAGTCTATGTTATCATGCCCAGTGAGATCTGCCAACAACCAGTCCTACTTCCACTTGACAATCACACCTACAGCGGTTGGTGAAGCACCTCTTAGAAACGTGGGTCTAATCTGTACCTGGGGGAACAGTCCCCAGCTAGACCACATGCGAGTGAATGTTTCCTTCTTGCTAGAGTTTGCTCCCAGCAGTGATGCCCAGCCCCCTCCTCCCGGGCTGACCGCAGTGGCCCCCAGTCCCTCCAAGCCACGGACTGCAGAGCTGGTCCTCCAACGAATGCAGCAGTTCAAGAGAGCAGACCCCACACGTCTGAAACATGCTTCCGGGGTGTGCTCACTCGAGGTGGCGATTGCCGAAAACGCCCCCAAGGACCCTCCAGAGGAGACGGTGGTGGGCAACGGTAGGATGGGGAATGTTTTGTCTTGCCCACAGAGATGAGCTGTAATTCTGGGGAAAGGGAGGCAGAAAGGGATGAATGGTCACTGTGTTTCTGCTCTGGCCAGGCCCCTGCCAGGGGGCGTGTACCTTTGTCAGCTCACTGCCTCCAGCTAGAGAACGAAGCAGCCTCCAGATCTCTTCTCACTTAGCTTCTCTGAAAAGGTACCTGGGGGTACCTTTTATCATGAAATCTTTCAAACATAGAGAAGTTGGGGAGAAAAAAAATGATACAAGGGGTCCCTAGGCCCTCAACCGAGACTTGACAATTGTTAACATTTTGCCATGTGTATTTTAATCTGTGTCCAAATATGCATTTGAAATGTACCATCGGGAGCTGAGTTCTAGACATCATGACACTTCCCCTCCACACTGTCCTGCATGCGTCTCCAACGATGAGCTGTTTCCTACGTGTCTCCATGAGATCCCAACTAATTCCTTAATGTCACCTGGTATGCAGTTCACAGTCAGATTTCCCTGGGTGTTCCCAGGATAAGTTCACCATCATATTCCCTCAGGTGTCCCAAGGATATCTTTGATAGCTGTTTCCTTTTTTCCGAACAAGGAGTCAGTCTGAATTTACACACTGCAGGCGTTCATCGCTCGGTGGTCTCTTAACGTCTAGACCCTAGAACAGTTCCCTGTCTTTTTTTTCTCTTTATGATATTGACCTTCTGGAAGTCAACTTAAAATTGTCTTGTAAACAGTCTCTCACTTCTGGGTTTGTTTATTTCCTCATGGCATCACCAACCCCTTCCTGTAATCCCCATAGGGAAGGTTCAGCAGTTTGGCTGGCATGCCTCACAGGTGCTTGGCGCTTCCTGTCGCACCCCCTTCCGTGAGGCACATCAGGTGGTCCTGTTCTTTATCCCCTGAGCCATGTGGGTGCTCGTCCCCACTGAGAATGTGCAAGACGAAAGGACTCGGGGAAACCACACGACAGACCTGTTACTCTCGGCTGCTGTCCAGTCGACTCTGACTCCTTGTGACCCCCTGTGACAGACTACAGCTGCCCATAGGGTTTCCTGGCCTGTGACCTGGATGGAAGTAGACCGCCAGGTCTTTCTCCCACGGAGCCACTGGGTGGGTTTCTACCACCAACCTTTTGGTGTGCAGCCAAGTGCTAAAGTGTTGCCCCGCCGGGGCCCCTGGCTGACAGACCCCTGGTTGATGAGTGTGCTGTGTGGCACTGCGTTTGCCGTTTCCCACTGAGAGCACCGAGGACTCCCGGGCTGCCCTGAAGGCCTGCCGCGTCCGGCCGAGGCACTGGGCTCCACCTGCGTGAGAAAGGCCTTTCCCTCTAACCAGTGCCTCTGTGACGGGCGCCAGAGGCCACTGCAGGGAAGCTCGCACTTCGAGGGAGAGCCCTAGATTTGCTGGCCTAGGAGCCATGTACACCTGAACGCCTGAGGTAGCCAACTTCAGTAGAAATGGGGAAAATAAGAGGCCGGGTCCTCTAGGAGCGGGGTGTGCCGACTGTGGCCTGTGGACCAGCGGGGCAGCCTTGCCCAGGAGCTCGTCAGAATCGACTGCCGAATCCAAACTGGCATTTCACAGGCTTCCCTGGTGACATTAGGCATATTTTGGTGTATGAACCCTGTTGTAGGCCCCACCAAGGCTGGTTCTCAGTGGGCAGGCAGGGGCTGGGGGAGGTCGTGCCACCCAGCCTGCAGGACGCTGGTGTCCTCCACGCTCCCCCCGTCCACGTCCGTGCTCTGCAGCGTCTGCAGGTGAGCTTGTCCTTGGCACTTGTCCTCATGGGTCTGTCTCTGGTGCTTCTCCCCAGGCTGTGGGCCTGGGCCCCCTGCCACGGAGAGTGACACCGCGGTGGCTCTGGCCCTGCAGCAGGAGTTGGGGCAGGAACGAGCATCCGCCTGTGAAGAGGGCCTGGAGCAGGAGGGCTGGTTTTTCTGCCAGATCTGCCAGAAGGATCTCTCCGCCATGAACGTCATACGGAGGGAGCAGCACATAAACAGGTGGGGCCGCCGTGCATCAGCTGTTCTGTGCGCGTGACCAGAGCCCAGGGTCGCCGCCCATCGGCTGTCCTGTGCGCGCATGACCGGAGCCCAGGGTTGCCGCGCGTGTGAGCCCAGGGCTGCCATGTGTTGGCTGTCCTGTGTGTGCGTGACCAGAGCCCAAGGCCGCAGCGCGTCGGCTGTCCTGCGCACGTGACAGAGCCATCAAAAGTACGTGTTCATTGGTGTCAAGCATTTCACAGCCGTGCAGCCATCAGCACATCTGTGTCAGACACTTTCATTGCCCAACAAGAAACCCCAGACCCTTTCACTGTGACTCCCCCTGCTCCCAGCTCCCCCAGCCCCGGGCGGTCATGGGTCTGCTCTCTGTTCTGGACATCCGTGGACATGGGGCTCTGTGACGTGTGGCCTGTGGCATCTGTCTGCTTTCGCTCAGCATCCTGTTCTCAAGGCTCATCCACATTGTAGCATGTATCCAAACTCTTCCTTTTCATGGCTGAGTAATATTCCATCGTATGGAGAGACCACATTGGGTTCACCCATTCATCTGTTAACAGACAATTGGGTTGTTTCTACTTTTTGACCATTGGGAATAGTGTTGCAGTGAAAGTGTGTGGACAAGTTTTGGCGTGCTATGTTTTCATTTCTTTTGGGTAGACACCTCAGACTGGAATTGCTGGGCCACTGGTAATGCTGAGTTAAATCACTTTGTGATTCCTTTAGCCACTTTGCTAACAGATAATAAACCAAGTGTCTGGAAGCTGGCTTACACACAGCCACACTGCCACGTCTGCGCTGGGTGGAGGTGGTGGTCGGGAACATGCTTGGACCCACCATGTCTCCGTTGACGTGGCTCCCTGTCACCCACAGTCCACGTGACCAGGGAAGCCGGTTCCCATCCTCTGCTGCCTCCCTCTAGGTGCCTGGATGAGGCCGAGAAGAGCCTGAGGCCGTCCGCCCCTCAGATCCCTGAGTGCCCCATCTGTGGCAAACTCTTCCTCACCTTCAAGAGCAGGAGCGGTCACTTGAAGCAGTGTGCGGTGAAGATGGAGGTCTGCCCCCAGCTCCTGCTGCAGGCCGTGCGGCTCCAGACGGCGCAGCTGGAGGAGGGCTGCAGCCCTGCGGCACAGAGGTGGGTCCCCGGGGCAAGCCGCGCAGCGGGGTTGGCGCTAAGCTTTGCTTTCTTTAGAAAAGGCTCTTACAGCGTTGGAGGCACACCGCCCTTTCTGATTTCTATTTTTGACAACCCTGACGTACACCTTTCCTGATTTTTTTTTTCCAGTTGTGATTTAGGTGAAAGTTTACAGAGCGTGTTAGCTTTCCATTGAACAGCTGATACACGTTTGTTTGGTGACGTTGTCTGCGGTCCCCACGGTGTTAACAGTGCCCCTCCCACCTCCTCCCTGTGGTTACCTTTGCATTGTTCCTCCTTCTTTGCTGCCCCTTCCTGCCTTCTGAGCTTTATCCCTGGGCTTCATGCCCCTTTGGTCTCTTCCAGTTGATGTTCTGAGGAGTGCATACCTCCTGGGGTTCTTGCCTGTCATCTGTCCTCTGGCTGACGCACCTCCCTGATGGCCTCACTCACTCCCAGGCCTGTCGTCTGTCCTTTGCCTGAAAGTTGAGCCACGGGGGCTGCTTTGTTAAGAACTGCTTCTGTCGGGGGGACAGAGCCCCCTTGATCTCTGGAAACAAAAGACTCGTGGTGGAAAAGAGATGTCGTCCCTGAAGGGGTTCAGGAGCGGGTCGGTTCTGCGGCCCTGAAGGCTTTGAAGCGGCAGGACAGCTGAGTCTGGAAGGACCACAGTGGCTGCCCCAGGTCCTTCCTGGGAGTTTTCCATCCTGTAGTTCTATAGCCGGCGCCCATGAGAGTGGCTGAGTGTTTGCTGACTCACTTCCCCTCCCCGTGTCACGTCTCGTACAGCGTGGTTTCCATCCCAGTGGAGACCAGGTGTCACACCCTTAATAGGAGATTCAGGAGCCCTGGTGGTGCGAGTGGTTAAGTGCGCAGCTGCTAACTGAAACGTCGTCCGTTGAAGCCACGCGGCAGCGACGCGGGCGGGAGACCGGGTGCTGTGCCTCTGTGGAGATGACAGCCGAGAGGACCCTGTGTGGCCGCTGCGCCCGCTCCCGTAGGGCCACTCTGCGTTGAATCCACTCGGTGGCTCCCAACAACAATATGAGATTATCTGGCAACATTTAAAGAGTTGGTGAAACAGAACTGTAGGCCGTGTTTTTAAAGAGTCTATGAGACAGAACCGAAGACCCTATTTTTAAAGGGTATTTGCATGAATTCAGTGCAAATGGGTTAAAATAGGCCCTGTCTGTGTTTCAGCGCATGAATGCTTGCCGCGAGGCACTGTGGAGACAAGCCTTCATTAACTGAATTACAGCCCTTAGAGCTTCATAAGGAGTTCTCATGGCACAGTGGTTAAAGCATTGGGCTACTAACGAAAAGGTCTATGGTTTGAACCTACCAGCTGCTCTGAGAGACATGAGGCCTGCTTCCGTAAAGATTGACAGCCTTGGAGACCCTGTGGTGCAGTTGTTTGTCCTCTAGGGGCGCTGTGGGTTGGAATTGACTCCATGGCAGCAGGTGTGGTTTTTGGTTTTGATAGATCTTCACAAAGCCCTGGGTGGCACAGTGGTTAAGTGCTCAGCTGCTAACTGAAAGGTCGGCAGTTCAAACCAACCAGCTGATCTGTGGGAGAAAGACATGACAGTTTGCTTCCGTAAAGATTCCAACCTTGGAAACTGGGGGGGGGCAACTCTGCTCGATCCCATAGGGCTGCTGTGAGTCACATCCACTCAGTGGCGTGTGTTGGGTTCGGTGCTTTAGTCCAGATCTTCAGAGTGACCCCCAAGGGGCAGAGCAGAGCTGCCCCACAGGGTTGCCAAGGCTGTCATCTTTACAGAAGCAGACGGCAAGGTCTTTCTCCCACACAGCAGCTGCGAGGGTTCGAACCAGCAGCCTTTTAGTTTGCAGCCAAGTGCTCAGCCACCTGGGCTCCTTCTGTGAACACTTGCATCGTAGAATTTGAAGCCTTGAGGCCTTAGCCCGGCCGGCTCCCAGCCGCTGCCCGTCTCAGGCAGGACCATGTTCTAACGGTTGCTCAGCTGCCTACGCCCATTTCTAATACTTCCCAGAAGTGAAGCAGAGCCAGTGGGTCCTCCTGGAAGGTTGTTGGAGCCTAAAACTATAGCAACGGGCCACCTTCTCCAGGGCTTTGAACCTCCCCTCCCCTGAGGCCAAGTCGGGGGTGTCTGGATCCCTGGAGGTAGTTGGAATTCCCACTGAGGCCTGTGCTAGTCAGAGCCCCCTGTGTGCCCCTGGCACCCCTCCCACGCTGTTACCTCAGCCACAGCCCAGTGGCAGCCCAGGCCCCGCTCACTGGGCCCAGACAGCTAGAGCGTGCAGGGCCCTGGCTCTCGGGGAGCTCTCCTCCCTCAGACCAGGCCCCCAGGAGGCTGGAGCTGAGGTGGGAGGTCTCCTGAGGTGGTGGCTAGCTCTGCTCTTCCACACTTTCTTTCTCGTCTTTTCCCTCCTGCTTCATGCCCTGCCTGCGGGGGCTCACCCAGCCGGCCTGGGTTCTCTCCAGCCCGAGCCCTCAGAGGCAGTGAGCCAGGGAGCCCGCGACGCTGCACCTCAACTCCCGAGTCAGCTGGCCAGGCTGCCAGCTAAGCAGGGAGGCCTTGCCTGCAGGCCATGGGCAGAGGCGCTGCCCGGGGCCCTGGGAGGACAGGAGGGGCCCTTTCTTGGCAGCTTGGACGGGACTGCCTGAGGGCATCTGAAGGAGACAGACAGAAGTTGGTAGGGGGGTCCTGGGAGCTGACATTGGCACCATCAAGGGTCCCACTGTTTCTCAACTCCGCTGGAAGGCTTTGACCCAGTCTGAGGTGTGTGGGTGCCACTGATGGCTGTGTGTCTGCCAGGAGCCCGCTGGGCAGCACCTCACGGGAAGACCCAGACCCTTCTGTGCCAGTCAGCACCACCGACCCGCGTCTGGACTGTGCTGGGCTTTCTGCCCGGGCCGTGTAGCCTCACCTAAGGCTACAATAGAATAAGCACAGGGAGACCCTGCAGCGGCCGGTGCCCCCTCCTCACAGCCTCACCAAGGAGAACGCCCCCCACTCGTCCCCCGAGAACATTCCCCCCACTCACCCCTCCGAGACATTTCCCCCCACTCGCCCCCTGAGAACATATTCCCCCATTTGCCCCCCCACAATATTCCCCCCCACTCTCGCCCCCCTGAGGAGAACGTTTTGTCCCCCCTCACCCACACCCCCACAGAGGAGAACCAGCCCGCTCTTGTCCGGTATGGCCAGGCCTCACTAACTCTCCTCTTTTCTGCGATTTTAGTCTCAGCCATCAGGTTGGAAGTTTGAAACGGAAAGGAGCCTCCAGCATGAAGGAGCCCCAGAAAAGGCGGAAGGTCAGCCAGCCCGAGGTGCCGTCCGAGGACCTGTTGGTGGCCATGGCCCTGTCCCGCTCGGAGGTGGAGCAGTCCGGGACCGTGCAGGCGCTCAACCTGGAGAGCGCTTTCTCGGAGCGGACAAAGCTGGGAGCAGGTGCGGGTGGCCCCGGGGGAACCTCGCCACACTGCCATCCCACCTGCTCAGAGCTGGCCACTGCTGGGTCCCGGGTGAGTGGGCAGACCCCGCCACTGACCGTGCTGCTTCTGCCTGTCCCTAGAGAAGAAAAGCCGCAGGAAGAAGCTTCCTGCCTCCCTGCCCCCGCTGCTGGCCCAGGACTCCGCGGCCACGTGGCAGTGGACGGGGGAGCGCGTGGTCCAGCTCTTCGCAGAGGAGGTGGGGGACCTCCCCAGCACGCCGCCACTTCCCGCCAGCAGAATCTTAAAGAAGGAGTCGGAAGAGGCAGGCTGGCAGCTGCAGCTGCCCGAGGGGAGACGGAACCTCCTGTGGGAGGGCAGCGCCCTGGCCGGGAGCTGGGCCTCGGAGGCCTTCTACACGGCGAGCCTGGTCCCACCCATTGTGCCCCGGCGGCCCGCCCAGGTGAGGCCCTCCCGCGGGACATGCATCAGCCAGGCTTTGGGGGAGGCTGAAACGCTGCACAGGGTACGCCGGGCAGTGGAAAGTCGGAGAGGAAGAGGAGGGGTGGGCGCGCACAGTCAGAATGGAGGCCCGTTGGTTCTCAAAGTTTGGTATGTTCCCAGAGGACTTGCTTACAATGCAGAGTGCAGGCCCCAGCCCCTGGGCCACTGACATCATCTGTCTGCGACGGGGTCCAGGGTTCTGCGTTCTCATTAGCAATGCAGGCTGTTCTGAGGCACGTGGTCCGGACCAGGTGCTCACCCACCTGAAGCCACCTCCGCTGTTAGAAGGTGTCCCAGGCAATGCAAATGGTGCGCACACTTGGCTGCTCAGGGCAAGGTGGGAGGTTCAGTTCTGCCCAGAGGCACCTTGGAAGAAAAGCCTGGCAGTCTCCTCTCGGGAAGTTAGGCCTTGGAGACGCTGTGCACGTGGAACTCTGGGCTGCTAACCACGTCAGGTGCTTCAACTCCACCACCATGGGAGAAACGTGGGGCAGTCTACTTCCGTGAAGAGTAAAAGCCTGGAAGACCCTGTGGGGCAGTTCCACTCTGTCCTCTAGGGGCGCTGTGGGTCGGAATGGACTCCACGGCAGTGGGTGTGGTTTGGGCTTTGCTTTCATGTGATTGACAGCCTTGGAGACCCTGTGGGCAGTTCCACTCTGACCTGTGGGGGCGCTGTGAGCTGATTTGAGGGCAATAGGTTAAGGAGCTCTGGTAGCATAGTGGCTAAGGCACTTGACTTCTAACCAGAAGGCTGGCGGTTCAAACCCACCAGCCACTCCTCGGAAGGAAGATGGGGCAATCTACTTCCGTAGTGATACTGCCTCGGAAACCCAAGGAGGGGTCACTATGAGTCAGGTGTGACTTGACGGTACATAACAACAACATAACAGGTTTCATGGGTAAGGAGGTTGTGCTTTTTGAGAGGCAATAGAGAGACACTGCAGGGTTTTGAAAAATGGCACAGTTTTCCCCACCACACACAGGTGCCAGGAGTCGGCTGGGTTACTAAGAGGGCAGGCCCATGGCCCCCGTCAGCTCTCCCGGGTTCTTTCCCATGACAGTCTTTCCCCAAGCTTGGGTGCCACAGTCAGGGTCCTGGCCCTGACAGAGGAGCCTGCCAGCGGACGGTGAAGCAGAGTCCCCGAGGCTGCCCTGGGCGGTGGCGCCCCTGGGCCCTTGTCCTTCAGGCCAGCTCGAGTCCTCTGTGGTTTCTGATCAGAACGGTCACTCCATCTCCTCCAGCCAGGCCCCCTCTGCTGTGAGTGGGGCAGATAACACAGCCAGGCTGACCTTCCGACTCATTCCAGGGTCCCGCGCAGGAGCCACCGTGCCCGTTAATGCCACCTGACCTGCCCAAGTCGGGTGTATGCACACCCCCTGCCCACCGCAGCCCCCTTCCTGTGTGCTGCAGCCCCCGAGAGGACCCAGCAGAGCCAGTCCCCAGGGAGGCGTCACCCTCCTCCAGCCAGAGGGAGCACCAGGCCCTGCAGGACCTCATGGACCTGGCCAGAGAGGGACTGGTGCCCAGTGGCAGGAGCCTGGACAGCTGGGGTGGAGCAGCAGGTGAGACACCCGGGGGGTCCCTGGGCCACTGTGATGGTGCTCGGGTTCAGGCTTCGCGACTCCTCCCGACACCGTCCCTGTGGGTGGCCGCTCCTCGCTCTCCTCACAGGCCAGTGTAAATTAGGACACTCTCAGTTTCCCTTCACATTTAACCGAGGACGGCGCCGTCTGCCCAGAGCGAGTGGGCAGGAGGTCACGTGGCTGGCACCACCTGAGTTACTCTCTGCTTTAAACAGAGATGTCCTCAGTTGCCAGGTGGTCTGGCCCTCTAACCTTCTCATCGTTCTCTCAGCCATAGATTTGGTGCCCAGTGGCCTCCCACTGTCGGGGTTCGTTCCGCCACCCGAAGAGGAACATCTCCAGAGGGGCAGCGACACTTCGGTAAGGACTGGGGACCCCTCCATTGCGGCCGTTCTGTTGGCCCTCGGCTCTCACACTGTGGTCTCGGCCATCTGGTGTTTGGCGAGGTTGGCTCGCTGCCGGCCCCCAGGCCCTCAGCCCCGTCTGTGGTCTCCTGTGAGGCGTCTGCTTCCGAGGAAGCCGAGCACGGCTTACAGCCAGTGAGCTGAACCAAGGGGAGCCCCCGCTCTCCTCAGGACGCTGCCCTAGAGTCCTGCGTGCCTTTGCTGCTGAAGCTTGTGGGTCACCACAGTCACCATCCCAGGCGTGGGCTTTGTCCTGGGAACCAGAGGAAGGCCCGTCGGCCCCGTGAGGTCGCCCGTGTGGGCCGTCCCCACTGTGCGTTGGGCTCTTGAGCCTTCCCCTCATTCATTAAACACTTCCTGTGCCCCATGGGTGGGTCCCAGCCGTGCTCACGGAGCAGTTCAGCTCTCTGTTGCCAACTAGTGGGGTGGTTGTTGTTGTTATTTGCCATCGAGTCAGATCCGACTCATAGCGACCCCTCCTTGGGTTTCCGAGGCAGAATCACTACGGAAGTAGATTGCCCATCTTCCTTCCGAGGAGTGGCTGGTGGGTTCGAACCGCCAGCCTTCTGGTTAGCAGTCAGTGCCTTCGGCACTACACCACCAGAGCTCCTAACTAGTAGGATTAGAGGCTGGGCTTTCCTGAGAGTGTTATCATCCCAGTAGAGCACTCGTGTCGAGTAAAGCATCACCCGGGGCCCAGGCTGGCGACGCCGTCGCACAGATGTGACGAGCACAGACCTGGAGCACACGTCTCAGGCAGGTCCCTGAGCTGCGTACATCTAGGCCCTCGTCTGTCCGTCGGGCTGCCGTCGCTCCTCACGGGCTGCTCTGAGGTCTGAAGGCATAGTCTATTAGACCCCCTGAGAAGCTCTGGTTAAAGCGCTCAGCGGCTAACCAAAAGGTCGGCGGTTTGAACTCACCTTCCCTAAAGAGAAGCAGCCTTGGAAACTCTGGGGGCAGTTCTACTCCGCGGGTCCTCTAGGGGTGCTGTGGGTCAGCCTCGACTCCCTGGCAGCGGGTGTTTCGTTGAGCTCCGAGCCACGTCCTTCTCAGGATGGTGGTGCTTGTCTGTCTCGGGCCCTGCCTGGAGGCTGGGCAGCTGGTCGTAGTAGAGACCTTGAGAAAACAGCTCACGCTTTGCTGTCCTGGTTGCTGAGCGCCTCGGGGTAACGGGCGGAACCCGGTGGAGGACACGCGCTGGGGAGGAGACGGAGGGGCCTGGCTCTCGGCCCGCTCCAGCGCCCTACAGTGTGAGGAGCGGGCAGCAGGGCGACACCGACTGCTGTGCCTGGTCCCGTTTCAGCTCTCCCTTGGCCTGCTGGTCTCTGACTTCGGGGCCATGGTCAATAACCCGCACCTGAGTGACGTCCAGTTCCAGGTGGACAGCGGGGAGGTGCTTTACGCCCACAAGTTTGTGCTGTACGCGCGATGCCCACTTCTTATCCAGCACGTGAGTACGGCTCCTCCCTCCCCACGCCTCTGCCCTTCTCCCTCGTCCTGGCTCCTTGTCACGCGTTCTCCAGGGAGTGCCCTGTTAAGGACGCCCTCCCTCCCCTCCCCTTGTGAGCTTTCCCTCACGTCCCTTGCCTCCCACGTCCTCACCCGTCTTCCTTCCTTGCCTCGGGCCTGGCCCCAGAGGGAACGTTTCTCCCCTCGTGCCCTACGGGTTTAAGCTTCAGTGAGGAAGCAAGAAAGACGCGTTTGCGGTTAGCAGTGGTTTGAGGGGAAGGCCTCCAGATTGTGAAGCGTCTGACTTTTTTGTTTGGTCGAGTGAAAACCCGTCTTCCCGGCGTTGTTTCCTCTTCCCGTTTGTGGAACAATAGCGTCTCGTCATTAGGCTCCTTCAGGTTGAGTTGCTAAGAACTTTTTGTTTTTGGCAATTGTGATCTGGGTGGAAGTTTCCAGAGCGAGTTTGTCTGTATTCAACAGTCCATGAACATTGTGTTTCATGACGTTGATTACGATCCCCACAACCTAACAGCTCTCTGCCCACGTCCTCCCTGCGTTTCCTTCCCGTCGTCCCTGCCTTCTGAGCCTCATGCCTGGGGGGGCTGCCCCTTTGATCCCGTCTGGTTGGTCGTTCTGAGCACTCACCTCCCTGGCTGCTGTCGGGCTGAGAGCTGAGTCCCGGGTGAGTTCAGTTCCAGATCTGAAGGGAGACCAAGGGCTGTTGTCTCAGATTCCTCCGGCCTCTTTCAGCCTGGTGATTTCTATTTTGAGTTTTGTTCCACGTTTTTCTCCTACTCTACCTGGCATCTCCTATTGTGATCCCTTTCCGAGCGGTCGGCAGTGGTAGCTGGGCACCATCTAGTTCTTCTGGTCTCAGGGTTGGGGAGGCTGGGGTCACGTGGTCACTAGGCCTTTGGACCAGTTGTTCCTTGGTCTCTGACTTTCTCACTCTTCTGAAGCACGTGCTCAGCAGCCTCCACTCTGGCGCCCTTCTGAGCTCGTTTGACTGAGTGTCATGCCTCGCAGGAGGGCAGGAGTCTGCTGCTGGCCTCTGTCTCCGTGTTCTAGAGCTGTGATCTCTCTGGGCCTCTGTCTCCCTGTTCTAGAGCTGTGATATCTCTGCTGAGAGGGAACTCACTGGGTTCTGGAGCCCCGTCCCTAATTGATGTTGAAAACAGAAGTGCACGGGCCTGACCTGCAAATGCCTGGCCCACTGGGGCAGTGCGCCCTGGCTGATGTCATTCCCAGGCTTCAGCCTGTTGAGAGTTGCAGGTCCAGACAGCCCAGGCGGTCTGTCTCACTCCGAGCTGTGCAGCCCTCTTCTATTTCTGTCACCCTCAGGTAAACAGTGAAGGCTTCTTTGCTGTGGAAGATGAGGACCTGCGGACCCAGCGCGCCCTGCTGAGTGATGTCAGGGTTGAGGTGGCCCATGCATTCCTGCGTTACCTCTATACTGCAGACGCTGCCGTGTCCTCCCACCTGGCCCCCGACCTGCGCACCCTGGCCCTCAGGTTAGCTCGTTCTCCTGTGGACGTCACAGCCTTTGAAATGCACTGACCTGGACTTGCAGGTTGACGAGTCCCTGAGTGGCGCAAGCAGCTATGCACTCAACTGCTAGCCAGAAGGCTGGCGGTTCAAACCCCTCCAGAGACATCTGGGGAGACAGGCCTGGCAGTCTGCTTCCAAAAGTCACAGCCTGGAAAATCCCCTGGGGCAGCTTCACTCTGCACACACACAGTCACCTCAAGTCAGAATCAACTGATGGCAGCTGATGACAATAAGCAGGGCGACAGCATGGGGGAGGTGGCACCACACAAAAGCTGGTGGGGCCAAGGCCGCCAGAGATGAGGCTCTGTGTCACACCTTCTAATCCAAAGTCAGGCCCTGCGGCCCCTCCACTGAAGCCGGACCACGCAGTCTGTCCCCAACACTGCAGCTCCTTGAGCCGCGTCCCATGGACCGAGCGGCCCCTCCACTAAAGCCGGACCACACAGCCCGTCCCCAACACTGCAGACCACGCAGGCTTTTCTCAAGTCCCAGGAGATGGATGCATGTGGAATGCCCCATTTCCCTGCCCTGATTTCACCTCCCCTGGCTCGGCTGCACCTGTGTCTTACGAGACGGCACATGGCTGTGCCCCACAAGGTGTCCCCCCCGACAGGGCTCCCCTCCATGAGGAACCTTGTGCTGCCTCACAGAGAAGTGTTCTCGGAGTGAGAGTCCTCAGGGCAAGGACAGCTCAGCCTCTGGTCAAACGCACCCCCAGACTCAGCAGGCAGCGCACTGGCCCCTGGGCCTCGGCCGACTGCGCGAGGTCGGTCGTGTATCGTCCTGGCGTCTGAACACCTTGATCCAGGCGGCTGCTGTCCCCGCCGCTGCAGACCCAGCGATTTCTGTTCCCGTTACCCAGTGCTGCCGTAACAGAGACACTGCGGCAGTGCCTCTAACCAGCAGAACCTTACTCTCTCGTGGATTAGGAGGCTAGGAGTCTGAGTTTGGGGGCCGGCTCTGTGGGACGTCTTCCTCTCTGTGTCTGCTCTGGAGGGGTCCTTGTTCCTTGGATCCCTGGAGATCTTCTCTGGGTGGTCTCTGTCTTCCCCACCTCTGCTCTCTTAGTCTGCTCCTTTTATGTCTCAGGAGAGATTGACTCAGGCCACACCCCACACTGATCCTGCCTCATTCACAGAACTGAGACCACCCCTAGACGGGATGGTAACCGCAGGCACGGGGCTTAGGCTTTCCTACACATGCTTTCAGGGGCACAGCTGAGTCCATACACCGGAACCCTAACCCCGCCCAGGTCACTTGGTCACCGGCAGCAGTGTCAGGAGTGCCTTGTTCCTAGAGTTCAGTGGCCTGCGGCTGTTGCTGGACAAGAGGGCGGGCACCGTCTCTGAAAGGGAGGGGCGTGAGTGTGGCCGCCTCCCTGTGTTGCTGGACGTGAGGATGGATGCTCTGCCGGGAAGGGAGGGAGTCTGGCCGCCCCCCTGGAAGGGCACCTGCACGCCCACCTGGGGCCAGGGCCGGCTCCCTGTCGGCAGTGCTGACGTGTGTCTGTGTTGCAGGTTTGGTGTGAGGGAGCTCGTCCGCCTGTGCGAGCAGGTGCCTCTCGAGACGGACGTGGAGCATGGCCCCCAGCAGGAGGAGGAAGACAAGGACTGTGAGAGCAGGGCAGACAACTTCCAGGAACTCTTGAGGTCGATGTGGGGAGACGAGGAGGAGGAAGCGGAGGCCCCGGTGAAGCACGAGGGCCGCGAGGACAGAGAGGAGGTGGACGAGGCCGACATGGAGGAGATATATGAGTTTGCAGCGACTCAGCGGAAGCTGCTTCGAGAGGAGAGAGCGGCAGAGCGAGGCGGGGCCACTGGCCAGCGCAGGGAGGGCTCCCCGGGCCCCGGGGGCGTCTGCGCAGGCGTCCTGCTGCAGGCGCAGTTGGAAGAGGTAGTACACAAGCCATCTGAGCCCGGAAGCAACGAGGCCCAAGGCAGATGGACAAGCGGGGCACAGTCGGCTCCCCTGTCCCAGGGCGAGCAGCCCCCCAGTGTGCACCACGCAGAGACCCGTGAGCGGGAAGCCGTGAGGGAAGCCCCAGGCCGCTGCAGGTCCTCCAGCCCTCCCGGCGAGTCCCGGGCAGGAGGGAAGGAAGGCCCCTGTTTGCACTCAATGGAGGACAGTGAACAGCTTTCGTCATTGACCCGAGGAGATCACCCTGAGCGTCCCCAGGTAACAGGTGACCAAGAGGAACAAAGGAGCCCCGTCATGGAGAGAGGGCCCGAAGCGTCCTGCTCCCCGAGGTACCAGCAGGCACCCGCCCCAGGTGGGAGTCCCTCCTGGCCCCACCTCCACCCTTGCTACGCAGGTGGCATGTCCCCTCTGGTGCCTCGATCGCAGAGTGCAGATTCCAAGATGGCTTCCTGGGACACACTGTCCCCAATTTTATCATCAAAGCACAGGAGAGACAGTAGCATCCCTGCGTTACTTACAGACCCAGAGCCCGAGGAAGGCAAAGCCAGTGGTCCCATGTGGGCTCGCAGCAGCAGAGGGCCTCTGGTCTCCCCAGAGAAGTCCCTGTCTATTGACCTCACCCAGTCCGACTCTGGTGACTCACGCTCCCGGCGGCCGCCAGCTCCGTCCGCTGCAAACAGAGAAGATGAGGTGATTCTTCTGTTGGACTCGGACGAGGAGCTGGAGCTCAAACGGACCCCAGCAGGATCCCTTCCTGACGACGCCCCCGAGGAAAGGAAGGTGCTAGCTGTCAGCCCCCGGTCCTCAGAGCTGTTCTCGGTCATCGACATCGACGCAGATCTAGAGCAGTCTCCCAGCCCCCTGGGAAGGGAGGGCAGGCGGCCGCAGGGGGCGGGGGAGCTGCTGGAGACCCAGGGCTCGGTGGGCGGCAGGAGGCGCCTGCAGCTGTTCTGTGACAGCAGCCCCGAGGAGGACAGCACCGTGGACACGTCGTGGCTGGTGCCCGCCACGCCACTGAGCAGCAGGGGCCGCCACCATTCCTCCAAGACCCACGCTTCCCCACTGCGCTCTAGGACTTCAGCGCTCAGAGAGACCCACCTGGAACCCAGGGCTGTGTCAGAAGTCAGGGAAGCAGAGGGGGCCACCGGTAGGTTTCCAGCCATTGTGCCCCAGACAGCGGCACCACGCCTGGTTTCTGCCACCCCAGGGAACCCCGAGACTGGAGGGCAAGCCTCCAGAAGCCCCCCAGGGCATCGGCCCAGGCCCCACCAGCTCTTGTCCCCCATGGCTTCCTGTCGGCCACCAAGACCCTCGCCTGAACGGCACCGGCTGGGTCGGGCCACCGTGGGTGAGGTGGTAGAAGTCGAGGACAGTGATGACGAGCAGGGGGTGGCCCTCCACCCACTCAAAAGCAGCCCCCTGCCAGACGGAGAGCCCCCCATCCCCATTGACACCTGCTTCTGGAGTGCTGAGCCCCTCTCGCCCATTCCCATTGACCACCTGAACCTTGAGCGGACCGGCCCCCTGAGCACCAGCAGCCCCGGCCACAGGGCGAGGCAGGCGCCGGCCTATGGCTCCCCCGGCCTCCTGGACACCAGCCCCATCCGGGGGAGCCGCCCTCACCCGGGAGGAGCTCCGGAGCGGTCCTCTCGGGCCGGCCCCCCCGGGAGTAGCCGGCTCAGCTTACTGAACTCGGCTCTGTGGGACGACTGGGACGGAGAAGAGAGGTCGCCGGAGATGCTGCCTCTGGCCCAGAGACTAAGCGCCGACCGAGCCGACAAACCAGGAGGCCCAGAGACACCCCGTGAGTAACAGGAGGGTGGGGAGGTGGGGCAGCGCCTTTGGCCCCAACAGCACGGGCATGAAGAGGCCAGGCGTGGACCTGGGGGCCGCAGTGCTGGCGGCCCGCAGACCCAGGCCCTTCACACGAGGGCCAGCAGCCTGCTGTCCACACACTCGTCCTCTCCAGTGTGTCGGTGTTTGTCAAGCTAGTCTGATCATCAGGGCCACCCGGGCTTTTGCAGAAAGTCCCCGTCAGTTGACCCCACCGCAGAACACAATCACAACCTCCCAAGAGAGGCTGAGACCCTGTTCACAGACCCCTCAGGTGCACCTTAGGGTCGGCCAAGTTTGCATCCTGAAAAAGCCCAACACGGAATCACCACACAACCCGGCAGGCCCCTCCCAGGCACACCCCAGAGAAGCAAAAGCCTGTCCCACAGAGACTGGTGCCCCTGAACGTGGGCTTCCCTGCACTGCCCACTCACAGGAGCACTACTCACAACAGCCACAAGGTGGAGCCAACCCAGGCGTCACTGGGGCGAACACGGGGTGGTCCCCCGCCACCAAGGAGAATGGTTCAGCCATCAGGAGAGCGAGGCTGTGACGCTGCTGGGACCGGGACTCACCTTGGGGACACTGCCAGTCGCAAAAGGACCCAGTCACAGCAGGCCTCGTGTGATTCCGTCTGTGCAAAGCGTCCACAGTGGGCGGACCGACAGACGTGGCAGATTGGTGGCTGCCGGGGAGGAAAGCAGAGCGACTGTAACGGACACGGGCTTTCCTTCTGGGAGGAGTGGCTGCAGGACACGGCGCCGGTGAATGGCCCCAAACAGCAGCCTTTCCGCAGATCACTCTACTGTGCGGGTTCTCCCTCGTTGGAGGGAGAGATCAGGACGTGTGGGGGGCCAGCCATGTCCTGCAGTGCCTCCTCCCCCCAGGCAGAGACGCAACTGTGTGAGCTGCGGCCCACCCTTCAGCTGAGCAGACACAAGGGGCCGATCGGGAGCACAGCGAGTGACCCCACAGCCTCCCTCGACTAGCTGCGCGTTTTGTCTCTGGCACCAGGAGAGAGAGAGAGGTCTAGTGGCTGCCTGGCGTTGATGCTGCTCCCAGGCAGGGCACAGCCCGCTGAGCGGAGGCTGGGCAGTGAGTGGCAGTGCAGGGAAGCCCACGTTCAGGGGCAGTTTCATTTCCTCCTGAAATCCTGGTCTGATCAGGGCCAGCGGTGCTCAGAGCATCTGGAAGCTTCACTACGTGTGCAGTGCCCCCTCCCGCCCATTTCTGCTTGGGCAGGTCGGCAGATGGTGATTTGCATTTCTAACCAGGTCCCAGGCGCTGCTCTGAGAACCGGGTGCCCGGCTTCAGACCAGGGGCCTGAGCCTGAGGGCTGAGGTGGACTCCAAGGGCCGGCAGGACAGACTAAACTTCTGCCAAGCGTTTGGAGTGTTTTCCAGGAGACATGCACTGCTTTTGTCAGTGTCTGACAGGGCTCTGAGACCATAAAAGGTTAAGGACCAATCTCTAAACTAATTGCTTTACTGAGATGTGACTGACATACCATCCAGTTTACTCTAGACTGTTCACAGTGTAAAGCGACCATTACCACTATTTCCTGAACATTCTTATCACTGAAAAACCCAATAGGTGAGCGCTCCCTCCCTCCTTCCCTCCCCAGCCCCTGGCAACCACGAGTCAACTTCCTGTCTCGGGATTTGCCTGTGGGGACATTGCACGGATAGGGAATCACGGGGCCTTTCGTGTCTCTTCACTGGCAGTGTTTTCAAGGTTTAGGCCTTGGCACTGCATTCCTTTTGATGGCTGAGTAATATTCTACTGGACAGAGAAACCACCTCTCAGTCACCCATTCGATCACTGCGGGACATTTGCTTGGGTCCCCTTTTTGCCTGTGACGAATGCTGCTATCATGCTAAAAAAAGGAGTGCTCTCGTGGACTTGTGAGTTCGTTTCTCTTGGGTACATGCCAGGAGGGAAATCGCCGGGCCATGGGGTGCTTCTGTGTTTAACTTGTTCGGAACTGCCAAATGGCTGCAGCGAGGTTTCCACGGCGATTACACCATTTCCCATTCCCGCCTGCGCTGGAAGAGGACTCCAGCTTCTGCGTGTCCTCGCCAGCACTTGTGATTTACACACACACACACACGCACGCACCTTTTTTTTAAAAAAAAAAAAATATCAATCCTACTGGGTGTGACAGGAACCCTGGTGGCACAATAGTTGAGCGCTCAGCTGCCAGCCGAGAAGTTGGCACTTTGAACCCATCAGTGGCTCTGCAGGAGATGAGACCTGAAGATCTTGCCCTGTAGAGATTTACGGCCCAGGAAACCCTAAAGGGCAGTTCTGTGGGGAGCCCTGGTGGCGCAGCGGCGTGTGCGCTCAGCCCAGGAAACCCTACAGGGCAGTTCTGTTGGGAGCCCTGGTGGCGCAGTGGTGTGTGTGCTCAGCCCAGGAAACCCTACAGGGCAGTTCTGTTGGGAGCCCTGGTGGCACAGCAGTGTGTGCGCTCAGCTGCCAACCAAAAGGTGAGTGAGCCGAACCCAGCAGCAGCTCTGAGGGAGAACGACCTGGTGACCTGCCTCCCTAAAGGTTGCCGCCTTGGAAACCCCGTGGAGCAGCCCTGCTCAGTAACACGGGTCGTTAGGCGTCAGAATCCACTTGGCGGCACTGTGTTTCGTGTTTGGTTTAGCGGCTGTGTGAGGTGGCACCTTGTCCTTTGGACTTGCTAACAGTGTGGAGCATCTTCTCATGTGCACGTTGGCCATCTGTGTGTTTTCTTTGGAGAAAATGTCTGTTCTGGTCCTTTGTCCATTTTCTAACTGGGTTGCTGGGTGTTTCACCGTTGAGTTGTGGGAATGGCTGACTCCTCAGCCTGCCTGGAAGATGTCAGGATGACCCATCATCACGGGTTGTCCCTGGATGAAACTGTAAGGTCAAGTCACGGGCCGGGCTGCAGGCCCAGGAGCTCTGCTGATGCAGCATGCGGGGGCACATGGCCGTGGCCTCCAGTGTCCTGCAGTGAGAGCCGTGGGGTCGCTGCTTTCATAGGGCAAAATGGCGGCCAGGGTCTTCAAGTGCAGGCTTTGTCTGGGTGACCCGGGCTGGCTTCACAAGCGGTCAGTGCAGGCCCCTCACGCTGAGCCATGTGTCTCTTTTGTTCTCCCCAGAAGGTGCTCGTCGGAAGAAGAACTTGCCCCCGAAAGTGCCCATCACCCCAATGCCGAGGTATTCCATTATGGAGACCCCAGTTTTGAAGAAAGAGCTGGACAGGTCAGTGTGGTTCTCCAGAGCCGGCTGGAAGGGCTCTTTCTTCCCACGCCTGACCAGGCTCACCTCCCACTTCTCCTGGGGGGCGTGGCCTGGGCTTTCAGCAGCCTGCCCGGCCTGCTGGGGGCTGGCGGCTGCCGGGAGGAAAGCTGTGTGCGCTGCTGCCAGGGAGTCAGGGAGCTGGCCGGGCTTCCGTGCCGACTGCACGCGCTGCTGCCCACAGTGCGTCAGCCTGAGAAGCTAACACACAAGACTCCTCCGGGTTCCCTCCGGGTTGTTTCACGGCCACGTAAGAGGGACCCGGGCCGTTACAGTCTAAGGAAGGGGACCTCACTTTAAAAAGAGCCTCAAAACTATCGCATCCAAGTGAAGGCTGCTCTCCAGCCAGGGGCCATGGGAAGCACGTGTGCGTGTGGCAGGGCGGCCGCCGTTGTGCAGGATGCTGGGGGGACGTCCCTTTTGGACACTCTGAGAGTCAGCTCAGTCGGCACGCAGGAGAGATGAGCACCTCTGAATGTTCCCAAAAGCCAGACACGTGAGGTTTCCCCGCCCCGAGCCAGCTTGCATTAGCTGATGCCGTTGGCTTGTTGCTGAGATCTGGAAACCGCACGGCGTGTGCGTGGCTGCGGCAGCTGGGAATGACGCGCCCCTGCATCCCACCTTAGGTTCGGAGTCCGTCCTCTGCCCAAACGGCAGATGGTTATGAAGCTGAAGGAGATATTCCAGTACACTCACCAGACCCTGGAGTCTGACTCCGAAGATGAGATCCCATCCTCACAGGTGCCGCCACGTGCCTCTTCCAGCCTGGCCTGGGCCACCGAGGCCCCCAAGACATCACGCACCGCAGGCCCCCCACCTCCAGAGGCCACCACCAGCCTGATCCCCCCAAGGCCGAAGGGTCCCACTGAGCACAAGAGCCCCCGACGGAGAAGGAAGCCACCCCGAGAAAGCTCCCCTTCCCTGCACAGGCCAGCAGCTGCGGAGGCACCCCCGGCTTCCGACGGTGACGCCCAGCTCCCAGCCTCCCAGGAGTCCACGGCCACCTTGGTGGACAGCAGCGACGGGTCCTTCGGCTCACAGAGGTAACTGGGTCAGGAGCCTCGCCGCTGTACTGGGTCCGAGAGCCGGCAGGGCTGAGGGCTGGACTAGGCGGAGCCAGTGGCCCGTGTCCAGAAAGGCCAGCTGCCCTCTGGGTTTGAAACCACGGGAGACGCAGCAGGCCACGCCCCCTGGCCTCTCAAGCAGCCTGTGGAGCCCCAGCCCCTCAGCCTGTGAGAAACTCAGCGTGTCCTCTTCGTGGCATCAGCTGGTTGCCCATGAAGACCAGCTCACTGGAGTAACTGACCTTGAGGGTGTGGGCAGGACCCTACCCAGCTGGCCCAGCTCGACTGCCCGGGAAATACAGCCGACCCCAAGGGGAAGCCTCTTGGGCGCTTCTTGCTGCCCGGGACACACTCCAGGCTCCGCAGGGGACCTAGGGACACACTGCTCCCCTGAGAGGCTCCTGGTCTCGGGTGGGGGAGGGGGAACGAGACAAGGTTTCCCAAAGTGCTGCTGTCTGTTTCTTTCAGCTCTTCCTCCGGTGAGTTTGGAGCCGCCTTGATGTCTGAAGGTGACAACGAGGGTGAGGAGGGGGTCAGCGCCTCTCAGGCAGCCGTCCGGGCTGCAGACATGGAGGAGGCGGTGTGGCGCTACATCCGCTCCCAGCCCGCCCTGTACCGGAAAGTCCTGCTGTACCAGCCCTTGGAGCTGACGGAGCTGCAGGCGGAGCTGAGGCACCACGGCATTCGCGTGGCCACGGGGAGGCTGCTGGACTTCCTGGACGCCCAGTGTGTCACCTTCACCACCGCCGCGGCCAGGAAGGAGCAGCTGGACAGGAAGAGACGGCAGCCTGCGGGCAAGCAGCAGCGAGCGCGGGATTAACGGGCCACCCTCCCGCCCCCGCCCAGCCCGCATGCAGCCCCACCACCACAGGCCCCACGGGACCACGCCAGCTCTCTCCATGACGGTGACGGCGGCCCCCGCCGCCACCCCCGACTCCAGACTCTGCTCCGTGACGTCAGGGCGGCTCCTCGCTGTCGGTGCCCCAGTGGCTCCTGAAGCAGGAGGGGAGGGGCCGGTGCTGCACGGTCTGCCCCCCGTGCCCCCGCCTGCTCTGTGGGTCCGCAGCCTGGGACACAGCCACATGGGCCTGTCTCCCTTCTGGACCTCAGACCTCACACCAGCCACCAGCAGCAGCCCAGTCACCAAGGTTCCACCGTTGCCCACCCCAGGCCCAGCACAGTGGGCCCGGACCTCCTGCCCTGGCCACGTCAGCATCACCAGCAGTCTTCAGACCGGACCGTGCAGCAGGGCCTGGCCCGGCCCAGAGTGCTCCAGAAGAATGTGCTCTCTGTGCCTGGTTCTGTCGTCTGAAGGTCTGGTCTGGAGAGCACAGGTGCTGGGCCGAAGACAGCTCTGGTCTCTACTCCCGTGACGTTGTCCTTGTCTGTCATAAATGTAGCGTGGTCAGTTTTGTATGAAGTGCAATAAAAAAGGCTTTGTCAAACCACCCAGGTGCCCCCCTGCTCCAGAAAAGTGACGAGACCAGCCTGGGACCCCAGGGCCCCTGTGGCCCCACGCGGACGTCTGCAGAAGGCGCTGCCTCACACCGCTGCCTCCTCCGGCTGCAGAGGGCCCAGGGGCCTCACGTGTCCCTCCAGCTCTTGGATTCCAGGCAGGGTCGATCGTCTCCTCCACCCTGTGTCCATCTGTCCGTCGGTCCTCACCACTGCATGGCTCACAGACAGCAGCTCTGGCCCTGCAGGGACGTAACCACTGGCGCACACTCAAACCCGCCAAGTCCAGATCTGCCTTTTGATGGGATCCTCAGCAGTGGCGTTTGAGAAGCTCTGCCCTGGCCTGTGTGCTGGGCCCAGGGATGTGGAAAGAGGTTGAAAGCAAGCCCTGCTCTTAGGGGGCCTTCCAGTGAAGCAGAAGGCACACCCCGGCCTGGACCACACACGGCGTGAGGGCCAGGGGCCAGGTGAAAGGAAGGACAATCGGCGCAGCTTCCTGGGAGGGGCTTGTGACCTGGGCCCCCAGGCAGATGGGAGGTTTTATCAGTTGCCGTGGGGTCAACCCCGACTCATGGCGACCCTGTGTGGTGGGGTCGACTCTGACTCACGGCGGCCCTGAGTCACAGTGACCCCGTGTCGGGTCGACCCTGAGTCACGGCACCCGTGTCATGGGATCTACTCCAATTCAGGGCGGCCCTGTGTCGTGGGGTCACCCTGACTTACGGTGACCCTGTGTTGTAGGATCAAACTCCAACTCATAACCCGATGTCGTGGGGTTGACGCCCACTTAATGGCAACCCTGTGTCGGGTCGACCCCAACTCAGGTGCCCCATGGCGTGGGACTGACTCCAACTCAGGGCACCCCTGTGTCATGGGGTCAACCCTGAGTCACAGCGACCCCATGTCATGGGGTCGACCCCAACTCACAGTGACCCCAAGCGTGGGCGATCAGAGCTGGGCCCCATGGACTTCAGGGGCTGATGTTCTGGAAGCACGCTGCCATGTTTTCCTCCTGGTGCTTCTGTGTGAAGTCGAGCACAGTAACCGTTTGCACCACCGAGGGCCTCAGAGGGACTCGGGGAGGAGGGAAGGGGCTTTCTTAAACCTGTGCTGTGTGGAAGGTGGGGAGGCCCCAGCCCCGCTGCTGCACACACAGCCCAGGGCGGTCCGACGGGACAGGTGGGCTCGGGTGGGCTCGGCGAGCCCCAGATGCTGCCCTTGCCAAGCAATGACTCAGCACGTGGGGAAGGAGATACAACTTCTCACACGGGGAGAGGCACTCTGGTGGCACAACGGGTAAGGCCCTTGGCTGTTGACCATGTGAGGGGTGGGCTGTAAAGGGGAGTGAGCCAGAGCCAGGAGGCAGAGGAATCCAGGGCCTTGGCTGGCTTCCCCTGGCTTGGGGCAGAAACCCCCAGACTCACCTTGAAGGGTCCATGGCTGCACTTCCGGGAAGGGTTCAGAGCTGTCACCACCCTCGAAGGTGCCAGGGCTCACCGAGTGTGGACATGATCTAGGCTGATGAAGAAGTGCTGGGGGAAGGAGGACAAACGGGTGAACAGCTAGACCCTGAATTCAGAGCTCCGCGGGGGGTGGAAAGGGAGCCCCGGCCTGGCTGCCCAGGGACGTGCCACAGAGGCTAGCCCTGAGGGTGGCCCTGGGCACCGGCCACATCCTGGACCTGCGAGCTGGACAGCTGCCCGCTTCCCTAAAACACCTCCCATAGGGAAGGGGCTAAGAAGCAGTCACTGCAGTAATGACACTGCTACCCACAGAGAAGTGGGGTTTCCAGGAAGGAACCTGCCCTTCCGGGAAAGCCGCCCCAGGGTGGCGGAGCAAGGTCTGGCTTGCACATCCAAAGGAAAAGGTGGCTGTGATGAGCTGCCCTCCTCTGCACCTGCGGCCACGGCCACTGCAGGCGAGCGTGAAGGGTAGCAGCGGTGTCCCCTTCCAGAGCTGGTGTCCTACCCAGGCAGGGGACGGCTCGAGGGGAGCGTGCCAGGCCCGCAGCCACAGAGCAATCACTGGTCACTGCTGGGTCATCAAGGCCAGTGGGTGTCCGTGCGTGGCTGTGACGTGACCTCCCAGGCCTCTCCCTTCCTGTGGGCCCAGGGTGCAGCTGAGCCGGGATCCAAGACAGCAGCAGGGTCCTCAGCCCAGCTGGGCAGGAGCAGCTGTGGGGCCAGGCACCTGCAGAGCCCCAGCCCCAAAGACCTGCCCCGGAGCACAAGGCCTTAGGTGTCACTGGGTTAGAGGGCTGGGCCACCGCCTGTCTCCAGCCCCACTCTGGGTGTCTTGGGAGACCCCCCCACACACACACACATATGCAACCTCCCCCAGCCGAGCCCGGAAGCCACAGAGCAGGCCACTGATGCAGCTCTGTCTGGGCTGTTGAGCATCTGCGGGGGGACGTTGAGGGATGCTGGGAGTGCAGGCCCCCGTGGACGGGCTGCTCCCCTGTGCTCACTGCGAACCGTGGCAGGTGGGGTGGCACGGCCTCGCGGGCCCCTTCCAGTGACAGACACCCACAGGCCCTGTGGTTTCCAGCATCCTGTGGGCGGCCCGGTCTCAGCCACTGAAGCTGCAGCCTGGGCCCGCGCTCTGCCTGCTGGGAGCCTTGTGGGCAGCCACCGTGTGTCCTCCCAGCACCCGGCCTCCTCCCGGGGGCTCAGGGAGGCGGGTGGGGCCGTGTCGGCCCGTCGCCCCCACCACACGGCCTTCCGCTGCTCCTCCCACACATGCCCCATCGCTCTCCTGCTCCCCACTGTCTGTGCCCCCCCACCCGCCCCCTTGCTGGCTGAAGAGAACGCAAGCCCCACAGCCTGCACCGCCAGGCTCCCACTTGCCACCTTCCCTCCTTGGCAGGCCCTGGGCCCCATGTTAAGCGGCCTGCTCCTTGCCACCCGCAGGTGCCTATGCTCTGTTGCAGGTTTCCTGTGTCTACTCTGACGCTGTCCTCTGTCGGCCAGACCACCCACTGAGGCCCATCTTCGGGGGGACCCTGAGAGGTCACCTTCTACCTTTTCTCTAGGGGGCAGCAGCGTGCCCTGGCGGCCCCTTTACTCACAGGAAGACTGGGCTGTGGGGCCCAGCCAGGTCCGAGGTGTCTGGTGGTGATAGAGAAAGTGAGAGGGGTGGGAAGGAAGTGAGGGGCGGCGGCTCCCACAGCAAGATCACCTCCTGCGTGTGACCTTGGGCACCCCACTTAACGACCCCAAACTCACTTGGCTCCCCAGCCCTCCTCCTAAAAGCCAACCACCCCCCATGGCGACTGTTGGCCTTTGTGGCACGTGGAGGGCAGGGGCTCGACAGCTTTGGAGCTGTTTTCTGTCCAGGGACCACACTCACTAGTCCCTCTCCCAAGGTCCCCCAGGTCCTAGAACCAAGATCCCAGCATCACTCGCTGTCCCCTGACTGGCGGCAGCCTCAGCTCACTGATTTGTCGCGGGGCTGTTGGCTTTTGAAATCAGACAGGAAGGAAGGTGGAGGTGGCCCTGTACAGGAAGAGGTGCGCGCCAAGCTGTAGCCGCCGCCAGTGGCCGCGGGGCTGGGAGCTGGGAGCAGGGAGCATCACCTGTAAGGTACACCGGGTCAGCGCGGGGTCACCAGGGGCCAGGCTGCACAGCAGCACACCAGCACTGGGCGGGCCTGAGGACAGGCCCGGCTGGACTGCGCTGGGACCCGAGTGGCCCCAGCACTGCCCACCCTCTCCCCGAGGAACGGGGCTGAGCCAACAGCGTGGGATGCGGCCTTCTGCAGGACCTGCAGCCTGGACATTCCTAGAGCAGCCTTGAGGCCTGGGGGTGAGTCACGTCCCGCTGCCTCCACGTGAGGCGAGGGTGGGAGAGGACACAGCTGGCAGGTGACTTTTAAGATCCGCGCTGTGCTGAGTGTGTGGGGAGGGTGAGGACAGAAGGGCAGGGCAGCCATGGGGACACCACCGGACATCCCAGTGCTGGGAACCGCTGGGCTGCACGAGCTCCAGCATGGAATAAACCAACAGGTGCCCAAGGACGGCCCAGAGACTGGCACGCTGGGCCCTGGCCCAGGGCCAGACCCTGCTCCCCTGGACCAATGACATGCATTCTGGTGGGTCCCAGGGCAGTGGTGTTTGCAAAGCCAGTGCTTAGACTCGGGCTCAGCAGATGGGGCCCAGCACCGACACCCCCCTTCCTGGCTGTGGGGCCCTAAGCAGACGACTCGACCTCTCCGTGCTTCAGTTGCCCCGCCTGCAAGATGGAGGTCAGGGGTCATGGGCCATGAGGATGAAGGGGGTCGGTGGGTAGCACACAGTACCCGCTTCTTGCTGTTGGGTGTGCAGGCCCCCACCTCTCCCTGACTGCACCCTGCGGAAGGCTGGTGGGT